CCGCCGGGGGAAGCAGAGGAAGAGGAAGACCTCCACTCCGTTGGAAGGACCAAGTGGAGAAGGACCTGGCTACGCTTGGAATATCCAATTGGCGCCACATAGCGAAAAGAAGAAACGACTGGGGCGCTGTTGTTAACTCGGCTATAATCGCGTAAGCGGTGTCTACGCCAATTAAGAAGAAGAAGATATTTTTTTTTATCTGAGTTCCCATAAAGGATCATATTCCCACATAAATACCACTACCGAATGTGCACTTAAAATCTTTTCGGCTCCCTGGCATGTAATACTTGCCATCAAAAGACCCCAAATGAAATCTGTAAACGATTAGGTTAGGTTAAGTGGTAGGCTGATATTCATGAAATCACAAATAATCCCACTTGAACTGCTAGAGAGGCTTTTCCCATGAAAGGACGACGTTACGCTTCTCTTTTCGAGATAAAGACGGCATCGAAGGATTAGCTGAGAAAGATAAAAAAATGATTTTTTGAAGTGCTTCGAAGATTGGAAAAACCGTTAGCACAAGTTTATAACATCTCATGGGGATTACTTTGAAGGGAACCAAATAGATATTCATGAATAAATAAATAATTTTGAAAAAACACAAAATTCGCGATAATTTTTGAGCACACTAGAGTATTAAGTCACTTCTCAATTTTTAGGTTAGAATTCCCCAACTCATATTTACAATCAATCACATTATAGATTGGTATGAAAATAGTCTGGAATGATAAGGAATTATTTCTGATAGCTGCTTAACTTGCTCTTTTTCATATGTCAACATTACGATTTTTCAAATACACTCATATACCACTACGCTCAATTTATAATTTGAAACTGTTGCAGCTCAAATATGCGTTTACTGCGAAATTTATATATAATATTTCATTAAATTTCTCATCGACAAAATGCTTTATAATTCGTGTAAATAAATCACTCTCTTATTTCTTAGCAACGCCATTCATTTAAGAGTATTTATGATAACCGCAAATAAATCTTTCAAGCTTAAACACTTTAATCCGCTATTTTTTAGCCCTTCAATGCACTCAACTATGGAAAAATATTACGAATTTCCACTTGATTATACAGTGTGCATTTTCGCGTAAAATTAACTGCCTTATGTCTGCCGGCAACTCGTTGTCAGTGACATTTTTCTCGCACACATTACATTTTATTGTCACCAGAAAACACATGTAGGATAAAAACGCACACCCCATCACACCTATTAACATACCATATATAGATCCATATATTAATAACAATACTTTACATATGTATGTATATACTCCTATGCATTGCTAACTTGTCGCTGTGGATATTACGACCATATAAAGCGTAACGGCTTGTCCTTTTCCCATGATTTATACTCGCTGACACTATGCCATGAAACCTTACAGCAGACAACACAATTGTCGACCGACCAACAGGCCGACCGTATTTATTTCTCAACAATTTACGCCAAAGCCACTAATCCCACCGACTTTTTAGTACTTCTCCATTACTTGCTTTCATTTCATTTTGTTTATTTTTATTTTTGCTCCGAGTTTTTGTTTTTTTTTTTTTTACTTTTTGTACGAGAGTTTCTACGTCGCCAAAACTTTTGCTTTCACTAAGCGGATTTATTTGTTTCTGCTCGTTTCTTCTCGCGTTGTTGTGCTGTTTGTTATCCCTCTCGCTTGAAATAATTCCGTAAGAAAAACCTTTCGGTGGTGTGTATTATTGTTATGAATTTAAGTGAATATTTTTAATAGAAATTGCGAGAGTTTAAACAGTTGAATTGAACATTCGATGGAGGCATGCATAAACTATAAAGTAATTTCTAAAGGCAGTATAATGAATTCTCTCACGGCTTCCGAAGAGTCGTCAACTTTGCGGTTGCTTACTTAATACTACAAGAATTTCTCTAAATATTTTTATAGAACGTGGGATTGTAGTAAAGTATTTTTTATCTGATTTCTCGAGGGAGATGTTCTATTCTATTATTGTGTTGTACTTTTGATTTATCAATTTTAATATAATACTCCGATAGAGTGTAAGAGGAATGAAATCCGATATATGTCAAGATGTCTGCAAAACATCTGTAAAACAAAAGAACCTGCGGACATCAGTACTTCTTATCAATTGAGATTATCGAGCTTTTACAATGATTTTTGGTACTAGCTTATAATATCATAAGCTGGACTACCTTAGTTAAAGGTCTTATCCATCTACCAAAATATACCACACATACCTATGGGAAGGACGAATACCCTCCAATTCGATATCTGAAGACTAAATGTAAACCACCTTAGCTGGTGGATGGTTCAGCTCACAATTAAACTGTATTAAGAAGACAAGTGATTTTTTTAATTTCCCATTTTTTGGCATACAAATTTTTATATTAAAATCATGAATCGCATCTCCGCTTATTGATTAATGGTACTTCCTAAAGTTCTTCGTAGGTCTGCAGCCAAAATTAATTAATTTTTTCCACAAATAAGTATCTTGCAACTTCTTCTAACTAATGATAACATTAAGCTTGTAAGTCTCAGTTGTCAAGGTTGTCATGCGGCACTGTGACTGCTAGCGTTGCCTTGGCGTTACTTTTAATATTGTCGTTATTGTTATTAATGTTGCTCTCATTCGGTCATAATTTATGTAGTCATATCCTCTTTTATTGGACAAAATAAACTTGCTGGATTATGATTATTATTAATATAATAATTATGATTACCAACGCCGCGCCAAAGCACAAACACACAGATAAATATACACACGCGTATCCGAGCGGTCGCACACAACCTCGTGGCGAGTTTTAATAACAAATAGATTTTTTGCACACTCACTTGTATTTACGATTGTGTTGATTTCGTTTTAAGCAGAAGGCATCATTAAATGAGTTCATTAGATTAAACTTCTTGGCATGGCCCACACACCTTCATGCCAACACGCACATACATTAGTTTAATTCCTGTCAGCGCACAATTGCATACTTTTTTGTGTCGCCGCCATGCTACAAGCTACACCTCTGTTACTTTGAATTTTCGCTGAAGCGCCTAAATGGAGGCAAGACGTTCATTAATACGAACTCGGTAACTTAAGAGTGGCGCATGTTACCATGGAAAAAGATTTACCTTCAG